TTACAGAAAAAAACCAATGTATTTAAGGAAAGAACTAAGTTGCTCTAAATTTATAGAAAGCAATATCACAAAGTGTCAGTGATGATCAAATTTATATAAGAAATTTAAAAAAAATAATTTAAAATATATAAGAATTACTATAAAAATGTAGGCTTTTGGTTTGTAACCCCAAGATATTCTGAGTCTGTAGGTTTGGGATGGGTCTCACCTATACTTTTCAGCAGTTATTTAAGGTGTAAAATGTTTTGTTGTAGGATAATGAGTAGAGCCCCAAAACCGTGATATTAAAAAGTGCCTCCACTATCCCAGGCAGTAAGTAGGTGTTTTGCCATACATTATTTCATTTGATCTCCTAAATAATTCTGTAAACAAGATGTTATCTCATTTTATACATAAGGAAATTGAGCCTTAATGAGATTAAATGACTTGCCTTAAATTATACACATCGGAACTCAGAACTTCTGACCAAATTCAGTTGTCTTTGTACTACACAACGTAGTTACTTAAGCTCTAGAACTCTAGTATAGGAACAATGAAAGCAGAAAGGTTATTTTGACAAATTATTTCTGCCACCCTTTATAATAACCCTAAAACTACTAACATAACTATCATAGTTTTGACAAATTTTTATAGTACATGGAAACTAATTTTGAAACTCGCTTTCCCTGAAACTCATTTACCTAGCCAAACCTTCTTCCTCTGTTCTTTTTCGTGAGCTGTGCTGGGGTTCTTATTTGGTCCCTTCATACTGTTTTGCTCTAATATCTGGCAAAGCTCATTGTTTTAAGTGGATTCCTACATTGCCAGGGAAATGATGAGCCTTTGTACTGGGGAGAGGAAGAGTAGCTCTTCCAATTTTAAAAGTTCTCATCCGCCATGACATCAACTTTAAAAACTACCACAGACACCTTCCAAATATAAAAGCCAAAAATCACCTTATTTTTAACTCTAGGCCCAAGGCTTAAAATCACCAAGTGACAGTCCCTTTCCAGCCTCCTATAATAATCACGATATTCTCTGAAGAGTCAAAGTTCGCCTGGCATCTGCCACTGACCTATCAGTTATCCAGACTTTAATTTTAAACCCCAGAGTGATCTATTGACCTGTGTCTTTGTGTTTTAATTGGTTAATTTGTAAGATTTGACCTCTGATATTTGCTAACTTTTTATAGGGAGTTGTATTTGTAACGGAAGAAGAGAAGAATAAAAAATATTAGTTTTAAAAGTGGCCTATGTGACTGCTTTTCTAAAAAGGTATTTAATGCTCTTAGTATTTTGGCTTATCTCTTTGAAATAAAGCTAATACACAGGATTGCCTTCACATTATTGTACTCTGCCTTTCTTGATTGATAATTGCATTGTCTTAGAGCCTAGAAATTGTTAATATTAGCTAAAACTACTTGGCTGCTCTATTAGAAGTTCCTTTTTTGTCAAATTTTTCTCAAACATGTTACTGCCTCACAAGGAGCCCCAGGTGTTTATGAGGTAATGAAGTACCTAAGAGGCCTAATTTTGTGGACATATTATGATAAAATACCATTTTTGGGGTATTAACTTCCTAGCTTCTTTCTTTAAAAAATAACCCCATAAGAAGCCATTGTCTATCTCTGGACATCCTGATTATTTGCTATCATTTAAGCCAAGAAAGCTCTTTGGTTTGCTTTTATTGTAGGCTTAGTGATTATGTAATTTAACCATTTCCCAATCTTGTCTCCTACAGGTAGACTGGGTACAATGTGATGGTGGCTGTGATGAGTGGTTTCATCAAGTTTGTGTGGGTGTATCTCCAGAAATGGCTGAAAATGAAGATTACATCTGTATAAACTGTGCGAAGAAGCAGGGGCCTGATAGCCCAGGTCAAGCACCAGCTCCCTCCTTCATAATGAGCTACAAACTACCAATGGAGGACCTTAAGGAGACCAGTTAGCAGATGCTGGGTTAGTTTGGGACATGGGGAAAATGGACCACATTGAGACCTTAGGCATCAAGCCAGGTGGTTTAGATCCACTTGCAGTGTTGCTTCCAAAGATGAATGACCTTCAGAGAAAGTCCTCTTAGCTGACTTCCTCTTTGCATGGACTGTGTGCTCTACGTTCTGTATCAGCACATCCATGCAGAGGGTGTCTTTGGTATAGCAGCCAGTATTTCAGTTCGTGTCTCCTCTGAGTATGGTTTGTTAAATTAAGGCCAGACATTGGATTGAGCTCCAGGGCGGCCGGCTGGCATTAATACATTGGTGTGGCACAGGGCATGTAGGTGTGGCATAGGGCCAGTTGATAGTGGTTAGAGGTTTACAGCCTGGGGCAGCACCATCTGGTGGGGCTGGTTATTGTAGTTCTTTAGTTAGGATAGTTGCAGAGGAGTCAAGAGTTGTACTGTTTTCCCCACTCTTACCTGGCATTTAATGCCCTGCAGATACAGCTAGGAGAGGAACAGGGCCGAAGTTATCTCCTGTTAGACGTCATGGGATTGTAGCACAGTCCGTACATCTCAGCCACTTGTGCTTGTTTCTACCAAGAAGAAAACCCCAAAGGAGAGGCAGGTCACCATATCTTCCTAAGGAGGAGGGTGTCATCTAGTTCAGAAATCTGACTAGATTGGATTCTAGGAAGAAGAGCTTGTCTTATTTCAAGGCAAGGAGCCTTTTTTGGCTTAGTTGTCTTGGGTCTACATTTTAGAGAAGAGCAGGTACATGGATCCAGGCTTCTGCAAAAGAAAAGAAGATAAGTCAACGTTTTACTGAGCCACAGTGATGCATGCTTTATGGGGAAACCGTTATTCCCCAGTACCAGATACCACCAGGCTTCAGGCATGGCCGTGAGCAAAACCAGCACATGACAGCTTTTGCCTTGCAGCCCTGACACCATGTCTGCTGTTCTCAATACTGGCGATTTCTGATTGTGGCCCACAGCAGATGCTGCTGAATAACACCTGGCTTCTTCAGAGGATGTCGGGCTGTAGGACCTTTAAGTGATGAAGTTGTTTTAGTAAATCCATTTTTAAAAAAAAAACAAAAGGACTTGTTTTTACTTTTTTCTAAATGTCTCTGACTACTGACTATTCTATAAATAGATTATTTTTCCTTTTTTAATATACATATATCAATATATAAATATATATATTTACTGTTACCAGCAGCATATGACAGTTTCAGCATCAAAAATCCATTTGGGGGCTTGCTTACTCTTTTTTTGCTTTTTAATAAAGAAATCCCATTCCTTCCTTGTAGTACAAGGAGTTAGCACTTCCTTCTCTTTCCTAGCCTGACCAGATCTTCCATATTGTTTTTGTTCAAATAAATATATTTCCTTGTGTGTTGGGACTTGTCCCCGTCTCTTGGGAAACTTGGTCTTACTCTACCTGTGACCGCTGTTTTGTTCTGTGTTTGTATGTGAATGTTTGGAATTACGGTGCTGTGTCTGCCTCCCTCTTGTTGTGTTCTCTGTTCTTGCTAAGGTGTTAGGTAACCTGTATGGAAACTCTTAATAGAAGGGGCCAACTTTTTGTTTTTTTAAGGAAAAAAAAACCAAACAAGCTAAAAATAGTGTTTTGTCTTCACTATCCTGTGTCCCTTTAATTTGGTTTAAAAATCTGTGATTTGACTTAAGTTCATCAATTTTACTTTTAAAAGGGGTGGGAGGGGAGCAGGGTGGGCCTAAAGAATAGCTTATAGTTTCCTCTTCCCATTTTGCCCCAATTTGTTTGAAAGAAATGTCTTCTAGTAACTAGAAGTGAAATGTACTGTCCAGTACAGTTTGAGTGGGTATGAGATTTACCTCAAAAGGCATCTTACTAAAAAAAAAAAAAAAAGCTCTTCTATAAAATCCAGTTCTGTAAATGCTTTCACTATCATTTATACTACCCATTGTTTTAGCCATACTTAATC